CGTTTCTTTACTTACAGAGAAACTCAATTGTGTTTTGATTGCTGTGTCATCCAAATCACTTTAAAATATTATCTTATAAAACGACAATGGCAAGATATAATGCGGAATGCCATTAAATAAAACTCACAAATGTGCTCACTGTTAATTGTATTACATCAGAAGAACTTTAGATGTGTTCACAATATTTTAACCCTTAAAATAACGTTCTTGTTAACAAAGCAAATAGACCGTTGTGTTCTCAGCGGCGAGTCCCGAGGCAGAGGTAACTCCCCGGTCGCCGACCAATCAGAGGCGACTCGTTTGCAAACCGCGAGTCGCGCGCTTTTTGCGCGCTAAATTTAAAATAGACGCGGTGGTTGTTTTCATCCGCCACACGACATTTTCTGTAAAAAAAATGGAGAAGTTGAAATTACGTTTAAAGCAAAGCCAGCAGTAGACGCGAATTCATATTACAATGCCATAACCTCAGTTGCCAGACAAGATGACAAAGTTTTCCTGATTCCTGAGGAGTATCAAGCAGTATCACTTCACAAGCATATCCAAACTTCTAAAGCTTTCGTTACAGTAAAAAATACGTTAAAAAAAAGTCGTCAAACTAGAAGTGTGTATGGATAAAAATGACAGAGGATATATTACAAACATACTTTGATGAAGATGATAACATGATTTTTCAGGATCAATTCCTTGAGGAAATAACTCCAGGACAAACGGATATTGTCAATATAAATGATTCGGAAAATCCTATAGTAAAAATTTTGGGAAAATTAATTGAGGGCCAGCAATGCAAAGAAAAACAATCTATAAAAAAGTTAGCCGACAGGTTTTGTGATTGAAAAGTTTGATGGAAAGCAGGTAAGTGTATATCACTGGATGGAAATATTTGAAAAAGAATGTGCAAGGTTTGATATAGTAAAAGATGAAGAAAAAATTGAAATCTTCAGGCTGTTTCTAGAAAAATCATGCACTGATTGGTATACCTCCATGATGATCAAGCTTAGTTTACAACCAGAGTGGTTGGAATGGAAATCAAACTTTTTGCAAACATACGCTAATAAAGGTTGGACTACTAGCAAGTACGCTTTATTTTTTAAGTACCAATCGGGATCTTTATTAGAATATGCTATAAAAAAAGAAAAACTTATGCTTGAAGTAAGAAAAACAATTGATGAAAGCACCCTTATTGATTTAATTGCTGCGGGCTTACCAGATTTTATAACGGATAGGATCAACAAGGAAGATATTATATAAACAAAAGACTTATTCAATCAACGCGGCAAACTAGAACATTTGGTTACAAAGAGGAAATTTATTAAAAAAAATAACAAAAGTATATTGATGAACGAAAAATGTAACATTTGTGAAAAAAAAACTAAATAAAGGTGTACGATATCATTCAGAAGACATATGTTGGTTTAAAACATATATAAATAATGAAAAGAAAAAGATAAGAAACAAATAAAGCTCATAAACAATTCAGAATTGGAATGTGAACTGCAATATGAAGACCAAAAAAACTAATAATGCCGCCATTAATTAAAGTAAAATTAGTATTGAATAAAAAAGTCGAAATATATGGAATCTATGATTCAGGCTCTAATGTGTCATTGATAAATTCAAGATTGCTAAAGATAAGCAATAAAGAATTAATTTATTCTAACAATACTAATTTAAAAACAATTAATGGCGTTAAAACAATCCAAAATGAAAACTTAGAAATACATCAGAAAGTTCCTATACTAAGAAGTGAAATAGTTTCTAAGGAAACAAATAAAACAGATATTGATATTTCTAAGGAAATAAAATTTGATAATTTAATAAATTTCAACGAAAACTTCAATGTAGAGAACTTCAAAATTTGTATAAATCATCTAGACTATCAGAAACAAGCAGTAATTGATGACTTAATATTGAACAATAAATCTGTTTTTGCAAAGGACAAATTTGACATCGGAACGGTAACCGATTATGAAGCATATATTGATCTGATAGTAGAAAAATATTGCAGTAAAAGGCCATATCGTTGCACCATTGAAGATAAAAAGGAGATAGAAAATCAGATTGCGAAATTGTTGGAAAAAAACATAATAGAAGAATCATATGGTCCGTTTGCAGCCCCAGTTACATTAGCTTATAAAAGAGAAGAAAATAAAAAATCAAGGCTGTGCATAGATTTTCGTGACCTAAATAAAATTTTTGTTCCGCAGTCACAGCCGTTTCCACTTATTGAAGACCTAATAGTAAAAACAAGAGATTGCAAATTTTTTCTCAACATTGGACCTGAATTCAGCATTTTGGTCAATACCTCTGCATGTCACAGACAGATACAAAACTGCATTTGTCACACAGGAAGGTCACTTTCAATGGACTTGTTTACCATTCGGCCTAAAAACATCGCCAGCAATATTCCAGAGAATAATGTGTAATGTTATACGAAAACATAAGCTCGGAGAATTCACTGTAAGTTACATCGATGACATCTTGTTGTTCTCAAAAACTTTCTCAGAACATATCGGGCATTTAAAAAAGTTATTGCACTTTTGCAGCAGACTCAGTTAAATACTTGGGCCACATAATACAGAATAATTCAGCTAGACCTCTAAAAGACAACTTGATATCAATAAAAAAAACTTCCCTACTCCAAAATCGCAAAAAAAATGTGAGACAATTTTTAGGAAAAATAAACTTTTATCACAAGTATTTGCCAAACATAGCAATAAAATTAGAACCATTGCATAACCTTTTGAGAAAAGGACATTCTTTAACTGGACTAAGGAATGCCAAGAGTCATTTGATGAGATGAAAGAAATATTATGTTCTCAACCAATATTAACCATTTTTGATCCTAATTTGCTAATTCACATATATACAGATGCCAGTATACTGGGAGTAGGAGCAGTCTTAAGACAGCCACAAGAGAACAAAGAAGAGAAACCAGTAGCATATTTTTCCAAAAAAATTTAACGAAGTTAAAAAAAGGAAAAAAGCTATATATCTGGAATGCTTAGCAATCAAAGAATGTGTAAAGTATTGGCAACATATGTTGATAGGTAGGAAATTCACTGTCTTCTCCGATCACAAGCCTTTGGAAAATATGAATATAAAGTCAAGAACGGATGAAGAATTAGGAGATCTGACATACTACCTATCACAATATGATTTCCAAATTAAATACTCTCCAGGAAAATATAACATTGAAGCTGATTGTCTAAGCAGGAACCCAGTCTTAGAATCAAATGAAAATCTGGATGAACAATTAAAAGTGGTTAACATGATTAAACTAGAAGATATCCTAAAAGATCAAGTTAACAATGAAAATATACAGTGCAAAAAAGATAAATTATTGAAAAAAAAAATGTTTTTTATAAGAAAGTTAAGAAAAGGGAAAAAATTATTCTATTAGAGAAATTTAGTATAGAATTAATCAAAAGTGTACATACAGACCTAGGTCATTTAGGAATTAAACAAATGCAAAGAATGATTAGCTCATTGTATACAGCAGAAAACATGACAAAAAACATAAAAAGTATCTGCGAAAGTTGTATAGTATGTATAAAGAATAAGTCCAGAGGACAAAATAAATATGGATTGATGTCCCAATTGGGTCCCGCTACAAAACCTTTTGAGATATGTTCCATTGATACCATTGGAGGCTTTGGGGGTTCAAGGTCGACAAAGAGATACTTGCACCTGCTATCAGATCATTTCACTAGGTTTTACACATTTTATACATTTTAACATCGAGTACTCAAAATACAAATGATTTCATCAAACTAGTGAAAAACTGTGCAGAAACTGACGGTATCGGCATGATTCTCTCAGACCAATATCCAGGTACAAATTCTAAGGAATTCAAAAGAGATTTTTAAGTGAAAAGAATATTCCAATAATTTTTACTGCAGTGAATTCGCCCTTCTCAAATGGTTTAAACGAAAGACTAAATCAAACGTTGGTCAATAAAATAAGATGAACGAAAAAGACACTAAAATTGCATGGGCAACTAGCACAAATGTGTGTAAAAAATTATAATGAAACGGAGCACACTGTCACTGGTTATGCTCCAAAGTATCTTTTAAACGGCACAGATGTTGCAATTCTCCCAAATGAACTAAAACATAAGAAGAACGAGCGTGACCTGATCCAAGACAGGAAAAAGGCTCTGGTAAATACAATTAAATCACATAATTACAACAAGAAAATTTACGATAAAAATCGAAGACATAGAATTCAAAGTTGGTGATGCTGTTTTTGTGGACAATGGAAACAAATTGAATAGGAAAAAGCTTGATGAACTGAGAATCGGACCTTACAAAATTATAGAAAAAATATCAACATCAATTTATAAGATAAACACTGACTGTAAGAAATTAGAGTCAAGCTATTTCCATATCTCGAAACTAACTCCAGCGCCTATGCTTGAGAGACCATAAAGAGGATGTATGTGTAGTCGTTATGTTTTATCTTCTCTGGGAGGGGGAGATTTAAAGAAAAATATTGTTTTCTTTTATTTAAATAATTTCTTTGTTTTAAATATTTTCATGCATCGGCCGCTAATAAAATTTATTTTAAAAACTATGGCTGACGCCGGATTATATATAACATAAAAAGAATTAAGCTGTCATATGACACAATTCATGAAAATAATTTTATTACAAAAATACTTAATGTAAAATAGTGATTTAGGAATCGACATTGTGATTAATAACATTAAATGTCGTTTCTTTACTTACGGAGAAACTCAATTGTGTTTTGATTGCTGTGTCATCCAAATCACTTTAAAATATTATCTTATATATATAGAGACTAAGATAGAAGCAATACAACTTACTTATTGATTGTCAAAACACTACCACTTTCTTATATTGTTAGGTCTTGATATTTGTTTCATCTTTTTACCGACAAAATTGCTGAACGGTTTTGGATGAAATTTATAATAGAATATTTTTATTTCTTTGATATAAAATCATTACTTATATATTAATCAATCGGTGTTAAATTCACAGGGGAAACGAGGATCGAACTGCCACCCGTTCTAATCGAGTGCGGGCTAAACGACATCGCGGTCATATTGGTGCCGGCGGTTGGGGGAAGCGATGTGCGTTACGAACTCACCAGGCCCGACGGGGAGGTCGTTAAACTCGACCACATCGACCACACTCGCCGCGAGGGGTCGAGTGACGTCACGAACTTAAAGAACCAATCCGTGTCCGTGGGCCGTGAGGGAAATGCAAGCAGTGACGTCATCGCGCCAACTTTTTACCCGACCTTTGATTCGCGCCCTGACATAGGGCGGAACGTAACACGCGGTGACGTCATCGATGCTGATTATCATCAGCTAACCCTCAAATTCGAAGTGTTCAACGTGAACCGAAAAGGGGGGAACGCGACGGACATTTTCGCAGGGTATCAGATGCGGATGAAGCGGAACGATTTCATGGTGGGACCCCTAGGCGATGGGGACCTCGGAAACTGGGTGCTTAGCGTCTTTTGCACGGACTCGAAAGGCGCCCCCGTAGAACTGTTCCAAGTGATGAGCTTCGTGATAGTCGGTATGGAAGCATGTACTGTGTAGAAATAGCACGAAGTTCCTTGGTCCACTTGGACTTTTGTCATTCTATCGAAAAATAGTCGACTTTAAATAACTCACTATCTATATATTTTCCATTTGGTTTTGGGGAGTTACGTGATGTATTATTCAGCTGTGGTAGGGCCACGCAACAGCCTTCAGTGTTGCACGAATGGGCAGACTCGTCCGGGTAAGTACCAAGACCGCACAGAAGATCGGCGTAAAGTGGAAGTATAATACTTTCGTGTTTCGTCTGGTTAGTGAGGTGGCCGGAGCCCAATTTTCAAAAGGTTGTCAACGCATTTGGAACCCTCGGGTGTTGCAAATGTCCATGGGCAGCGGTTATCACTTAACATCAGGTGAAACGCCGGCTCGTTTGCCACCTTCACACATAAAAAAAAATTGTAGGTATATCAGGATTCCACAGTGCAATATTAACAAAATTAATATGGGAGCTTAACGAAAGCCAGTGAAATTCAACCCATTCTTTGGAGTGTAGAAAATCTTTACTGTTTCCATCAATACGACCAACACCCGCATAAAGACGCCAATCAGAACTAAACCAATATTTTTTGTTATTTTAATTGCGGTCTCATTGAACATTCAATAACACCGAAATTTGCATATCTAGCGTGGCCGTAATACAACAGCGGGCGATACAGAACTTCCCCAACATTTACATTATTAAAATTTATTGATTGCTTGTTTTACGCAAGTATTGTCCATGTTTAAATGAACCTATTCAACGTGTTTTATCGCGTTTTAATTTGTTTTTTTAAATTCCCGATGTTTCGAACCGTCCCGCAGTCCAGCGTTCATGGTCATGAGTCCAGTATATATATGTATCATCTATAGTCACGGGACAGACTGAGGACCGGTTTCTGAAACACTGATCATCGTAGAAGTCAACTAATCACCTGTCAAATGGCTTTTCAAATGTTTTTTGAGTTGCCCAGAGGATTGTTATTGTCCAAAACTCTGAATTGATCATTCTGATAATTAAGAAGATCATTCTCACGTCTTAATGTCGGAGTCAAATCGGGCTACCGTCAATTATTTTATCATTTATTTTCATCCCGATCTACGCGAAGCGTGGTTCCATCTATTTACGTCTCACAGAGCCGGTGCCGGCGCGGGCGTCGAACCTCGAACTGAAAGAAGGGGCCACTTTCGAGCCGAGCTTCGCGTATCCCATCAGAGGTCTGGAGAGCTGCGAGCTCCGAGGTCCGCGGGCATCCGACCGGCCCTACGGTCGCGACAGGGCGTTGGATTACTGTGGATACGCCGTGCCCAACGTGACGGAAGACGACCAAGGGGTCTGGACGATAGTCGGCGTCGGCGCCATAGTGTACGAGGCCACGGTCCGTCTGAAGGTCCACAATAAAAGCTTATAACGCACTGCTGAGTTTCCTTTCGGTTGAAATCTATAGAGGAAACGGACAGTTTCTTGCGGCGCGGGTAAAGGACCCACGTCTAGCGGATTAGCTAACCGCTACGGCTAATTGCAGCACCGACGATAATATCAACGTATTCAAGCTATATAGTCTTTTCGCCTTTAAACAGCTTTACGTAGACGTAGGTTCGATTCCCGAAGTGGTGAAAAACTTTTCGTCCATTTCTTGTACAAATTTTAGTGTTGCACCTTAAGTGCAGAGATTGACACTATAAAAACTTTCTTCGAGTTTTGAATGAGCGAATTATAAACTCCGGTGGAGCAACTCGCGTGTGGTTTATGTGAGAATACTCTCTCGCGAGTTCATGAGCAATATTACTACGTCATCACGACCAGAGACATAGACGTTAATGGTTACATTTAGTTCGTGTGCATCGCCGATTGGGAGTGCTATTAGCGTATCTTACGCCGCACATCTGAGCCTTAATACAATAAGAGATTTTGACATAGTTGCCACGCACCAGACACCTTGAATATTGAATGCTGCTGCCTGTTATTACGTAAGGACTTGAAACTCAGGATCTGTGAGAATGTGCGGGCAGTCGATGGATGCAGGTGGCTCAGGATCCTGCTTCGTCGCAATCTGTGGCAGAGCCTATCTCCAGTACTCTCTACTATGTACTCTCCATTTCATGTACTCTATACAGACGATATTAGTATACACTAATAGTAACTTAACTGTACTCTAACTACTAACTAGTAACATACAGACTGAAATGATCATGACCCGGGTTCTAATCCTGGTGCTGGTACCGATTTAATTGCTGTTTTATATTCGCTCATTGGTGAATAAAAATATTGTCGAAATCAGCATATTTTCGTAATAATAATTAGAAAAAAAATATTTCGAGGAAATGTATGCCAACCCACGGTGAGGACGCGCTATGTACTACAGCCTATTTTTCTCAGTACTATTACTATTGTATACTATACTATACTATTGATACTAAGAGTTAAAATAAACATCTATGGAACGCTTGTTTTCACGCCAAGTGCATATTTTCATTTCACTAACGGGTTCCCTTACAAAAAGCTTTATTAGAAATGGAATATTATAAGAATAAAGATGGAACAAGTTACTAAATGAAACTATTTTTACGGATTTATAGCGTTTATTAAAAATAAAATTTTAGTTCCCGATATTTCCATCCCTTTTCAGCGTTCATTGTCACTTCTAACCCGAGCTCCTGTTATATTATATATATTTATATATATATAGTTATATCCCTTATTGTTAAAAGCTGTTAAATCATTAATTTTGTGTCCGATCTACACTGAAGGTGCTAATAGTATCTTGTCTTGCAGAAGTGGTTCGGCTATCAATATCAAATAGATTAAATCTAAGCACAAAGCCTAGATTTAATCATATTGATGATATACAAGCTGTGGGTGGCACTCTACTCTCTTCTCTACTGAAATTAAGGTGTTTTTTTTTTTTAATTTCAATAGCCTCACAAATCCTTGGGAGGAAACGGTGTTCTTTTAAAAGGCTGTGTGGTCTATCAAACTGGATGTAGTGGTTGGGGCGATTTAAAGTGTGCTCACAGATTGCAGACTTATTTGATCTATAAAGTTTTAAGCATCTGGCACACTTTGCAAATGTGAGTTGTGTATTAAAAAGTGTATTATATTTGCTATTGTGTTTGCGTGTTTCAAATAGACAACACTTCTTGACTTTTTTCTTTAAACTAGTAACAGCGATTATGATATTGAACTGATACTCTAAAGACTCGCTGTTTCGACAGAGACACAAAATCGCTGCAACATTCGCACACCTTTAAGGAACGAAACCATCAGTTACCGTCACACCACATCGACTTATTAATACAAACGTAGGTATGTAACACTAATTTATTGCAATACAAATGTCTCACGTCATACACGAGTAATATTTACATTAAACACGCACCCTATGCGTGCAAAGAGTAATTGCAAAGCTGAAGACGGCGACGTCACCTCGGTCCGCTGCCACACGCTGCCACTCGCCACCACGCGCTGCCACGCACTGCCACGCGCCGCCGTACTACTCGCTGCCACTGCCGCTGGCCGAGCCGGAGGCGCTGCCGCTCTGGCTGCGCTGCGGCGACGCGGCGTTGCCGTCGCTCCCCTCCGAGTCGGAGTCTTTGAGCGCCTTCGCGCGGTCGAGCCGGCGGGCGCGGCGCGTCTCCACGTCCGAGCCGTCCGACTCGGACGAGTATATCGCCGCGCCGGCGGTGGCTGGAACGCGTCATCGATCACTCACTATTTTTACTCAAACGCACGCGGACACACTCGAGTGATCATAGGTTTATTGATGAAGAATATAGAAAGCATGTAATCGTTGTAATCCTGGCTGTAAATAATGGACATTTCTTCGTCGATTATGTGCCCCATTCGCGCCGCCCTTGCACTAGCGATTTCGACGACTTTTGAAAATTAACAATTGGCTGCGATTGCTAAGAAGCAAAACAGAGAAACAGATAGTGTGACAGTCCCTGAGAGCGGTGCACTCACAAGGTGCTAGTGTAGTACCCTTCTGACTAGCACATTTACAATGTTCAATGATTAAATATTAAAAAATCAATTATATTGTTTAAAGAGCTGGACCTCCAACGCAGTGCACTGAAAAAGAGGTGGCGCCTCTCACCCTTCTGGCTATTTTATTTTTCTTGTTTGATTAAACCAGGATTAAACAAGTAAAAGTAATTGCTCTACAGTAGTTTTGACAGACGGCTTGATCTCTTCTGGCTATGATCGGATTAAAAAAGTAAAAAAATGTCCTAATTTAGTATGCCCAGACGGCTTGCGCCCCAATGCGCTGCACTGACAAAGTGGCGGTAGCTACCAACCCTCTGGGTATTTTATTTGCGTGTCCACGGAATAAACAAGTAAAAATAATTGTACCAAAGTAGTAATAAGCCCATACAGCTTGAGCCCCAACGCGGTGAAATAACAAAGGGGCGGCGGCTCTCACCCTTCTGGCCGGCCTTGTACTTGTTCTTGATCGCCGCGAGCGAGACGCCGCCCTCGTCTTCGGAGTCGTCGCGCGCGGCGCCCCTGCCCCCGCCGCCGGCGCCGCCCCCGCGCCTCGAGCGCCGCGTCGCTGCGCGCGACCGCATCGCCGCGCGCAGCTCCATCTCCTCTTTCTAATGGACGAACGGTGCGAGCCATGTCAGTTACGAAGCAATGTACAGCGTTGGCAACTTATTGAATACTTCTGTAAGCGACGCGTCGGCAACAACAAGGGCGACTTATTAAATACCGTAAAATGGGGTGAATAGGGATCCAGGGGTGAATAGGGATAAAACCAGGAAATATTTTCGACGCTCAATATTAATTACCAAGTCGTTACAATGTTCACCATTTTTTGTGCAATGATAGTAGATCTTTAGAACTGCTTATGGCAATACTGAATAGGCGCGAAATTAGCTGCAAACTGTCAAAAACTTCATTTGAAATTAGCCTCTCGTGCCGCCGTTTTTATCAGTGTTAAAAACTTTGCGCTCTAAAATTTATTTGGAAGTAAGAGAGTACGAGTGTTTGTTAAATACGTTATTTAGTGTTTCGGTCCTCATATACATAAAAGGTAAGCTTCAGTTTTTATTAAATATTAATATTATTTCAATAATTAGAAAGTCGTAAGAAATCTGTTGTTTTTGGGGTGAATGGGGACGTCTAAAGTATGAATAACGACGAAAGCGGGGTTAAACGAGATAAGAATGAGGTGAATAGAAACGACTTATGTATGAATAGGTACAGCTTCGTAGGGCTGTCACTAACCAGTTTTATTGATTTTTGAATATATCTAGGTAATAATTTAGTTTCATAATACTTTTGATTGGACTTTGGATTTGGACTACGCTATACGTGTTAAAATAGTTATCGTGTTATTTTAGTGTTTATGGAAGGAGTAGAAAATATTTATATGATCAATTATCCATTGTATATATTTTTTCAGACATGCCTCGCGTGTATATTTCACAAAGCTCAAAACCTTACAAGAGGTATGATCCCTTAGTATTAAAAGCTGCAGTAGAAACTTATGAAACTGGTAATAAATCTCTAGTTGAAATAGCTAAACAATTTAATATAGCTAAGTCTGTTTTACACAGACATGTAACAAGAACGATGAAACGTCAAGGTGGACAAAGATCTCTAAGTGAAGAAGCGGAAAAATATATAATTAAATATATTAATATTTGTTCTGAGTGGGGATATCCACTTGATACTTACGACTTACGGATAATAATAAAGGGATACCTAGATAGAGTTGGTATAGAAATTAAAAAATTTAGTAATAATTTACCCGGTGTGGATTATGTAGAGAGTTTCTTAAAGCGTCACAAGAAAGAAATTTCAGAACGAATCAGTCAGAATATTAAAAGATCTAGGGCTGCAGTATCTCCACTAATTATAGAGGACTATTTTAATGAACTTCAAACTTCCTTAGATGGTGTTCCATTATCTAACATCGTAAATTACGATGAATCAAATTTAGCTGATGACCCAGGAAAAAAGAAGGTTTTGACAAAAAGAGGCGTCAAATACCCTGAAAGGGTTATGAACCATACAAAGTCATCGACGTCACTGATGATGGCTGCATCCGCCGATGGTACACTGCTGCCCTGCTACGTAGTCTATAAAGCCGTCCATCTTTACAATACCTGGACTACAAATGGCCCCCCTAATTGTAGATATAATCGGACTAGTTCAGGCTGGTTTGACGGCAATACGTTTGAAGACTGGGTGGAAACCGTAGCTCTTACATACTTCAACAATAAAGCTGGAAAAAAAATATTGATAGGAGACAACCTTTCTTCCCACTTATCATTAGATATCATTAGAAAATGTCAAGAGTACAATGTACATTTCGTTTTTCTTCCACCAAATTCTACCCACCTGACACAGCCACTCGATGTAGCCTTTTTCAGGCCTATGAAAATTGCGTGGCGTGACATCCTGTTCACATGGAAAAAAACTGAAGGCCGGGTACTGCCTACAATACCGAAGAATATATTTCCTAAACTACTTAAGAAAATGTTAGAAAAAATAGAACCAAATATTAAACAAAACGTTTTAGCCGGTTTTATGAAAGCGGGAATAAGCCCTCTTAATAAAGAAAAAGTACTTAACAGATTGCCAGGGAATAATACTAGACGCGAATTTAGCACGGAAGAAAAAGAAGCAATTGATGAATCAGTTTTATCTATATTGAAAGAAATGCGATATGGGTCGCAGAATACTAGAAACATTAATAAGACCAAGAAAATAAATGTTATACCCGGAAAAAGTGTTGAAGATAGTGACTATTTAGATACTGATATTTCAAGCTCAAATGGACTATCAGATCTTGACCCGAAAATTAGTAGTACATCTAAAAAAAACAATAAACTCAAGAATAAAATAATAAATAAAAACTCAAAATATAATAAAAAATCTAAAACACAAAAATGTAGTAATATATTAAGGAAAAACTCTGAATTGGAATTAGAAGAAAACAAAATTTTAAAAGAGCAAGAAAATTTAAATATTGATCTAATTGATATCGATAATATGCCTATACTACTACTAGAAGACAATTTTCAACAACAATCAACAACCAACGACCAAAATACACACCAACCAAAAATAAACATTTTATCTGATGAAATAATTTTTTCGTCAGGTAAATACAAGAGTAATATAAAATTACCCTTTGAACTAAAACCTGGTGCTAATCGAAGATCCAGTTCTAATAAGAATAACACGGAGCCTTCAGAACTTAAGCCTGGTATTAGTGGCTTCCGAAGACCGAGTTTTTGTAATAATGAGGCGCAAATTCTTCGAGTTCTTATGAATTCTGATGATGATTAAGTGTATTTTAAATACGATAAATATATATATTAGTTTTTTTTCAGTTTAATTTTTTTATATCATGTCATGTGTGATCTCAATATAATATAAGTTTGTTGATATAATTATATATAAGTTCGTTGATTATGATTTTTCAATAAAATTAAACCATGGAAGCCATAAATGCATTTTATTTCAGCGACTGATCAGAACTGACTAGATATTTAGATGCCGGTTATTCTGACATTGAATGACTGCTATTGCCACTACATGATTTTATATTACATTTTTTATATGAGAAGGCGACATACGAGCTGGATGGCGGTTCACCTGATGTTAAGTGATAACCGCCGGCCATGGAAATTTGCAACACCCGTAGGTTTGAAGATACGTTGCCACCTCATAATAAAGTGTAATGGTACCTCACTGACTAGACGAAATGCATAAGTGTAACCGTACCACTACACGTTTCTGCGGTCTTCTGTGAGGTCGTGGTACTTCCCCGGACGGATCTGCCCATTCGCAACAGCGAACACTATTGCATGGCCCTACCACATAAAAAAAAATTCGCAAAATGTAAAAAAAAAACTGCACTGAAAAGTAATTAGAAACAGTATGTAGTATAACATTAAAATATCTTACATTTAAGTGAGTCATTTTAGCATCATGATGCTAAAATGACTCACTTAAATGTAAGGTCATGTTAGCTAGGATTTAATGATTATTTATTACGCTAGGGTCAGCCCTGGTGAAATTCTCTGTTCACCCCATTTTCATCCCCATTAACCCCAATTTCCGGGTGAATAGGGATAGCATATATTTTAAGTTTTTTTGCATTACTCGAAACGCTAATTGTATACTTTTATATTTCATAGCAAAAAAAATATAAAGACTCAATAATTTCGATCCCCATAAAGCTATAAATCCGTAAAAAACTTCCTTAAAATTCTTTGTAAAGTTAGGATTTGTCCCTATTCACCCCAATTTACGGTAAGTCGGCGATCGCGTTGATAAGGTGCAATGTACGAGGGCAACTTTTTAAATACGCATATTTGGTAGACACCGGAATGGGGCGTAGTAAGTACGCAATGTAAAGCAACGTTGATACGATCATTGATACGATCTTACTTTGACTGGCCTCGTAATCTCTTAATTTAGAGTAGGGTGCGGAAAAACTGTAGCCTTCTCTTTCACACCGTAGTCTAAATCACTACTATCTCGCTCTTACCACACAGTATACAGTCGCAGTCAGCGTTCTCATCCAGTCCTTTGATCGATTTTTTTTTTAGATATTAAGTAATGTGGTTAAACCATTTTTGCACTTGACAGTACATGCGTAGTGCAGAGAACAGAATCCAACTTTGATAGAACGCGGAGTTTTGTTAAGCTATTATTCAACTTAGATAGACTTTTGTTAAGCTATATCGACTTTTGCACCCGACAGTACATGCGCAGAACAGGAGCAAACTTTGTTAGGTCGCGGAGTTTTGTGAAGCTATCATGATTTTTGCACTCGATGGTACAAGAGCAGTGCGCAGAACACTAGCTAACTTCGTTGGAGTGCGGACCTTTTTAAGATATCACGACTTGTGCACTCGATGGTACACGTGCAGTGCGCAGAACAGTAGCCAGCTTCGTTGGAACGCGGAGCTTTGTTAAGCTATATCGACTTGTGCACTCGACGGTACACGCAGAACAGGAGCAAACTTCATTAGAGCGCAGAGTTCTGTTAAGCTATATCGACTTGTGCACTCGAAGGTACACGCGCGGAACAGGTGTCGCGCCGGCTTCGATAGAGCGCGGAGTTTTGTAAAGCTATCGCGACTTGTGCACTCGACGGTACATTCGCACCGTAGCGTTTTATACGCACCTTGAGCTGGTACTTCCTGTCGGCGTCGGGGTCCGCGCCGACCTGCGACAGGATCTTGATGGCGGAGGTCTTCGTGGAGCGGTCGGCGAGCGACAGCGTCATCTTCCGGTGGGTGAAGGACTCTGTGGAGTGCGGCCGGAAGGAGAGCTTCGTGCGGAACACCGCCTGCCCCTGCAGCCCGGTGCCCTGGCGCACGAACAGGTGGTTGTGGTCGCCCTGTGAAAGCGAAAAATACGACTCAGTCGGGAGGATTATATATATTTATTTAAGTTTTATTGGCAATATTAAATAAAAAAAGATAAAAGGGTGTGAACTTAAAGCGCATAGGCAGACCAGTTAACACAGTAAGTAGGTAATTGCTGCAATTATAGCTGATAATGATAAATGGTGATTCTTTCATTTTAGCAATTAATAGCGTAAATGATGCTAATGGGCTGTTAAATTGAAAATAAAAGGTAATATGTAAGATATACAATTAAACATACTGGAAGATCAACATGCAATTATTTTTTGGTTCCGCTATGGCAAGCTGATAGCTGGCCTTGATAGCTCAATTTCGATACGAGGAATTAGAATTCAAATCCCGATTCCAGCGCCAATGAAATTATTAATTTTAAATGCTGACTTATCACATGCTAACCGGTAAAGAAAAAATCGTGGGGAAACCAACATAATTTCGAAATATTAACAAAAAAAATATTTCGAAGGTGTGTGAAATCCGCCAAAGGTATGTGAAGGAATGTATAAGGGAAGGGTGGAGGGTGTTACCCGGCTGAACTACTGGGATGCTGCACCGACAAGAGCCTAGCTATTAAATTAAACAAGAGAAGAGATGTGAAATCAATCAATCTGGAGTAGGGTTGGCCAAATATACTTTGAACAGAGGAGGCCTTTGCCCAGCAGTGGGACCTTTTTTTATGTGAAAAGTTGCCAAGCGAACAGGCAGTAAGTGAATAACGCCGCCCATGGACATCTGCTACACACGAGGGTTGCAGGTGCATTGACAACCTTTTGAAAATTGGGCTCCGGCTACCTCACTCATCAGACGAAACGCGAAAGTACTATACTTCCACTTTACGCCGCCTTCTGTGAGGTCGTTGTACTTACCCGGCCGAGCCTGACATTCGTGCAACAGCCGGGGCTGCTGCGTGGCCCTGCCACCCTGTTACTACATGTATAGGCTGTTGTTTTACTTGGCTGCATAGACACTATTACGGTCAGGACTTACGTGCAGCGGCTGCTTGTACACGTCGAAGATCTCGGAGCCGAGGTGCAGCGACATGCTGCCGTCGGACCACTTCACCATTCGCGCGTTCGACTCCTTGACGGCGTCGCCCTGCTTGTCGAACACCGTTCGCCAGCGGATCGTGTTCTCCACTTTCAGCTTGAGCCTGAAACGGTACGGTGGTCTCCACTGCCGAGTCTCCACGGTCACCACAACCATAATGTCGAGGAATACATTGAGGACAAGGATGTGTGGAAATGACTCTTGCTCTGCACTTGCAAGTCCCCTGGCTCCTGCTAAATTATACTAAAATAATTTTGTGTGTATACTTAAATACTTAAAAATATATATATATATATATATATATATATATATATATATATATATATATATATATATATATACATATATGACCGCAGAGTTTCTTGCCGGTTCTTCTCTTGCAGGTCTAGTTTAGTGAACCGGTGGTAGTTTTTTACGTTCAATAAGACCTTAAAATAAGCCTATGTTGAATAAAGCAATTTTGACTTTGAATTTGACTTTGACTGCACTACAATATTTTTTTTTATTTCATCATCATCACATCAGCCGTAGGACGTCCACTGCTGAACATAGGCCTCCCCCATTGACTCCCACTTCGACCGGTCGTTAGCGGCCTGCATCCAACGCGTCCCTGCGATCCTGGCTAGGTCGTCCGTCCACCTTGTGGGAGGCCTTCCTACGCTGCGCTTGCCGTCACGTGGTCTCCACCCGAGAACCTTTTCTTATTTAATTATTCATTATTGCCAACCTTCAACAAAGGTAACAAAGGGCGGACTTGTGCCCAACGCCACCCTCTACCAGTCGACCAAGGATGCATTATGGTAGGTGCAGCAAAAGATGCAAGAATGATGAAGTTTTAAATAATGGGAATAAATATGAACGTTCAACGCTACAGTGCTTTCATACTCTTCCGTGGTAGCGTTAAACGTTTACCGCAACCTCGTTGGAAGTTTCATTAGGAGTTTCACTTAAAAAAAATAGGGTAGCCGACCTGGCGCGACCCTCCTCGTCCAGCGTCTCCTCCTCGTCGATCTCGTCCTCGTACGTGTTGGGGTCGTAGGGGCGCGTCTCCACCGACAGGAAGTTGGGCAGCTTCACGAAGTGCAGCTCCTTGCCCAGCTCCGTCCAGATCTTGGGCATGTCCACGTCGATCCGCGTCTCCGGGATCTCCAGCTCCTCCTCCTCTTCAGGCTTCTCGCGGTTCTCCTGAAGCGCGGCGGTGGAATGTTACGCACCTTTATAACTAAAGGGAGCTAATTAAGAAAATCATCATTTCAACTTTATGGTAGGAAACAACCTAAAACGACTCTTATAAAACAGGCCCTTGTTTTATAAGAGATTTTGGCGCAGAAGGCTAGATAACGTATACTTCGGTCTCTTTCACTCCCCTCCAATCACCGTGTATGTTCACGAGTGCACAAATCTCCTACATTTTGCGTTTTCCAAATAAAATCAATGGAATATCTTTTTTGAAAAAAGGAGGAGGAAGAGGAAGTCCCGAAACTGAGCTATTAAGGCCAGCTATCATTTTATAAAAGCGAGAGTTTGTACGCATGGATGTTCGTTACTCTTTCACGCAAATACTACTGAATGGATTTGTTTGAAACTTTACAATAATATAGCTTATACATCAGAATAACCCATAGGCTATAATTTATATACAATTTTTTATATATATCTGTCTTTCTGACTGAATGTTACGCTTTCAGCCTATTCTACGCAGACGTAGTCGCGGGTAGCAGCTAGTATTATATATTCATAATCAATCTACAGGACGACACAGAGGACGAAGATTCGGAAGAGGTAGAATTAATGTTAATTATATTGTCAGTTAATTCAGTCTCAACGCCTCTTCTCAAACTGAAAAGCTTAAGTTTTATTACAGTCTTCCGTGGCATTTCGATGACATTATAAAAAAGGACGATAAACGAAGCTACCTCGTCACCGCTGCCTTTCGCCTCGTCGCCGGAGCGTCGCTCCTCGTCGGACCTGCCCCCGCTCCGACTTCTGGATCTCGAGCGGGACCTGGACCTCGCGGACCTCTTCTCGCCCTCGTCTTCCGTGCTGATGTCCGAAGCGTCGCCGAACAACGCGTCCGCGGTCACTTGACAAACCATTCCAATATAAGTGCGCGCAAAACTTTAGTTGTAACTGTAGAAAAAAATTGTTTGCGGTGAACCGGTACGAAACGACCGGTACGATTCTCGGACCCACCAAATATATATAAATAAAAGGAGCATGGGCAAATCGTACCCGACAACGAGTCTGAGGTCTAATCGAGCTTAAGGTTTTACAAAAAATAAAAAATAAACCTTTAAAAAGTAGCAAAAAAGATATTATTTTATTTTTGTTTATGTTTATTTCTTTGGAAATTACATAGATTATCATATTCAGAATACACCCATTGACATTTCAAATTCAAAGATTAGTATAATACACACAGAGTGTCAATGCCAACAACAAGCCGAAGCTGTTACGTGGCCCTAAGACGAGAATTTGGCGACATTAGAACATTAATTTCCCTGCCCAGTCAGGGATGTGATAATGAGCACCGCAGCAATTTTTGGCACCACACCCATTGTCGCCAGCGGTATTTCCGGACCGACACGACTTAGGGACATTCAAGAAGAGATCATTTTGCTACCATAAAGGCAGACAACGCAATTATGACTCAACCGATGCTGCGAGTTTCTATAGGGGGCGGTGATCGCTTACCATCAGGTGACCCGCTTGCCCGTTAGCCTCCTTGTTTCATTAAAAAAAATAAAAAATGACGACCCGATTGGCGTTGTGTGTAGTCTACCTGCCTCCTGCGCCAGAGAATGTGGATTTGATCCCCACTACGTGAAAAATATTGTGTGATGAACATGGTTTTTTTCTAGTGTTTGGGTGTTTATACAGGGAGGCTTTTCTAAGTGTATCCATTTTTTCATACGAAATTCTAGACATAAATAATGTTATACAAATATTTAAAATCACTCATAATTAATTAATTACATTCATTTGAACTTATCTCAAAAAGTGCGTGATTTATGAGCAACTCATTTATTTTACGCGCGATCATTCATAACTAGCACGCACAAAAGTTCGTTTTAAAAGTACACGACGCATTTATGAATGACTACCGCATTGTCAACAAGTTCTGTTTTTTAAGGAATAGAATTGCTATTTTTTTTTAAATAAAGTTTGTTTTCATTTCAATAAACGATTATACTACCGAGTCTGAACCTCCTGTGTGAATTTTGCCACCTTTAGAAAAGTCACCCTGTATATATAAAATATGTATTTATTTACAAAAGGGAAATATGTTTAAGTATGTTTATCAGTTTTCTAGTACCCATAGTACAAGCGTTGCTCAGTTTGTGACTGGATAATGTTGTGTTAAAACGTGTCTTAAAATATTAAAATATTAAAAAGAATCTCACCACCGTCACCCTGGTTCTCGTTGTCCGAATCGATGAGCTTCTTGGTCTTCTTCTTGGGCTTGCCGCTGGTGTCGGAACCGCTGTCAGAGTCCTTTTTGCGTTTCGATACGGCCTTGCCGCCGTCGCTTTCAGAGTCCGACAGCACGGTGCGTTTCTTTTTGCCTTCTTTAAAAAAGAAACATGTTCCTATGAACACACCCAACTTTGACTGTGGGGTACTAGGGAACTAACCCTAGTTCCCTAGTACCCCACAGTCAAAGTTTTAACTTTGTCAAAGTCCTAACTTTGAGTGTAGGGTTCAACAACAGTTCGCTGTTGCACGTATGGGCAAGTCCGGCCGGGGAAGTAACACGACCTCACAGAAGAGCGGCGTGAAGTACAACTGTTATACATCTAGTTTTCGTCTGGCGAGTTAGGTAGACGGGGCCCGATTTATCAAAATGTGGCAACGCGTCTGCAACCTTACGCTACGTTGCAAATGTCCATTGCTGGCGGTTATCACTTAACAGCAGGTGAACCGCCATCTCGTTTGCCACTTTGTCACGTAAAAAAAAAAATATTATTTCATGGTTTCAAGATGTCCCAAAACAATGAATTTCAGAAATCAAGTTACTTTTTTACTATATTTTTACTTACATTAATAAACAAAATTATTACAATTGATTTCATATTTCAATAATCAAACAAAATCGAAACTATTTTTAATCAGGCCAAGTATGGAAACGCCCGTAAAATGAAATGCTAGACCAGGTTACTGACCATCACCGCCCGCATTGGATGCATTTGAACTCTTCGAACGGGATCTTGAACGACTCTTGGATTTCGATTTGCTCTTAGACCTTGATCTCGACTGCCTTGAACCAGACCTGAAATAAAAGGTATCAAACTAGTTTACTACAAAGCATTGTAATGAATTTTATCATTCTATTGTATTATTTATTAGTAGTTTTATTGTCTTATATGGTGTTAACACAACAGCTTTACAGCTTGCTCAAGAAAGTTTTACTTTACGGTGGTAGGGCCACGCAGCAGGCTGTTGCACGAATGGGCAGGCTCGTGCGAGTAAGTACCACGACCTCAAAGAAGACCGGCGTAAAGTGAAAGTATAATACTTTCGCGTTTCGTATGGTGAGTGAGTGACTCAAGTAAAAAGAGAAAAATCCAACCACATATTATATAACTAAACACTGACCAAGTAAAACATTGGATGTGCACAAAGTGGCACATATTAACACAGGAATAAACTTTTAAAATGATTCTTTAATTGCTTTAATAAAAATAATTGCTGTATTTTTCAATATGTATGTAATCCTTCAAATAGCGTTCAATTAAATGAAATAATGCTAAATTACTTATTTACCTTGACCTACTTCTCGATTTCTCTTTAGTTTGGGCATCGTCGATCATGAGATTTGGTGAATTGGATCTGCTGTCGGCCACGTCTTGTCGTTGTTCCGGACTTTTGGACCTGGAGGATGAGGCGCTCCCTGACCTCGATCTGGACTTCCTGCTTTTTGGACTGCCACTTCCAGACCTCGAGCGGCTCTTGGCACTTCGCGATTTGGGGCTGTTCGACCTAGACTTGGAAGAGTGCGATTTCGTCTTTGGACTCTGCGACCTAGATTTGGGGCTCTGTGACCTGGATTTGGGGCTCTGTGACCTGGATTTAGGACTCTGTGACCTGGACTTTGGGCTTTGAGATCGAGATTTAGTGCTTTGTGCCGACTTGGGGCTGGGTGAGCGGGAATTAGCACTACCTGACCTAGACCTGCCACTACCCGATCCAGATCTGGACCGACGGGATCCACTCCTCGATCGGGATTTGGATGCTCTATCCTTTGTGCTGCCAGAGGCTTGAGACTTTGGGCTTGATGATCCAGATTTGTTACTCCGAGGAGACCCTGCTGGGGAATTGGATTTGCTGCGGGAAACATTTGACACATTTGAAGACTTCCTGGACCTCCCCGAATTGTTTGATTTAGGAGATTCACTTCCAGATCGTGCAGGACTGCGTGACACAGATCTGAAAGTTATAATTGTTTCTAATAAAATTTTACCCCTTCAAAGATTTTCTAATTTAATTACTCCTTATAATGAACAATTTTATATAGTTTTAGCATGCATGATCAATTATAATAAAACTGCTTTAACTTATTTTTATTTACTTATGTGAAGTTTGAAGAATTGCATGTGCTATTGACTTCGGCATTGTAGGTTCGCTTCCTACATAGTATGTGCCACACATTTATTTGCCCCATAAATGTGCTACATATACTGTGCCCCAGAACTGTTCTGGATTTTGGTATTTGGTCCCAAAGACAGTTGACATCAGGCAAGTGGTCAATTGTAAAAATATACCCAAAACCACTTCCAACATGATTCACATATAGTGCCACCCGCACGCAGGTATGATAGGGAGAGGAAAATTTATGTGAAATTTTATTTAATTTGTTAGTTGTTAGTTACTTTATGTAATAATTACAGCCAACAAAGTATTGTTACTAAATTCTATCAACTAGAAATAAAACAAAACTTACAACATTTGCAAGAAACACATTTCTGCTTCTTAATTTTCGTTTGATACAGATTGGTTCAACTTTGCTTTGCCATTACACAACTTTATGGATAATATAAAAAAATATCTATTAGACATTAAAATTTCCAAAAAAATTGTTTTAATAATAAAGCAATTTTAAGGTTTTTGTAAATTATTTTCTGCAATGGGCTTTTTTTATATTACATTCTAAATGTAATTGCTGAGGCATTTACACTAATTGTATAATCACAGATCAAGACTTAACATGCCATTAGATATCCTTCTGAGCCAAACAAGTATTGAACATAACTTTCTCACAAACATAACAACTAAGATCAAAACGGTCACATATTAAAACAAATCACTTATTGCGAAAGTGTTTGGCTTAAGTTTTTTTAAAATGGTAGCTCAACCTTACTTTTTTCAAGATGTCTTTTGCACATTAAGTTTTCATTCTCGAGAGCCATTTGAAGTATTTCATCTTTGAAAAGAAACTTCTTATACTATCAAGAAAAATTAACATTGGACCAATAATCTAGTTTATATCACATACATAAATATTTGACAATGTATTTGTAACTAAATGTTTACAATGAAAGCAATAAATGTACCGAGATTGGCTGCCTTCTTTGCCAGGGCTGGGGCTTTTGCTGTGGCTTCCACTAGAACCGCTATCAGAATCAGAGCCAGAATCAGTGTCTGAAATAGTTGGAAACGTTGTTTATAACAAGCAGCAGTTTATTATAATAACATATAGAAACAATAATTAAATAATTATGAGCATTAATATTATTAAAAAACATCAATACATTGGAATCTTACCATCTCCAGCCTTTTTTATTTTTGGAGCCATTTCTTACAAATAACTGATATTGTAAAGATTAAATAAACTTTGCTTGATATAGTTTCGATATCCTTTGCATTTATAATTTGTATAATATAGTATAAACACAATCTCCTTTCTTCTATCGGTTTTCTGAAGGCTTAAAATTAAACAAATTGTAAACGAAAACAAGCACGACTATATATTTTTAATCTGTGGTAAGTGAAGTGAAGTGGTTCTAATTGTGACGTTTCAATGCTTTTTTTTTGTTTGTCGACCCTGGAGTCGCGTCTTTTAGGCCAATTCGATGCGCGGCACTTGTGCTGCTATTGCCAACTTTAACATATTTTATAGACAATCATGTCCTAGGATTCGTAAGATATGAATTTATTAAAAAAGGCATCATTTGTCATTTTATCTTGATCCAAATTAATTATAACAGTCGAGTGTAAAGGCATGGAGTAGTAACTCCATGCATTTCAGATATATAAAAGTACTCTTTGACTCCATGTGTAGGGAGTAGTGTTGCATATCGATAGTCTGCTATCGATAGACTATCGATTATCTATTGATAGTTAAGCTAAAAGCAATAGTATCGATAGTCTATCGAAAGTATTGTCACGTGTCAATACTGTCGATACTACCGATAGTATCGATGGCTCTCTTTAGTTTTTGTATATACTAGGTAAGTTTCCTATTGGAACTGTGGAAAGTGCTCAATTAGAAAAATGTAAGTTTAACAAAAATGCTTTGGAGTTCCAAAAAGTCAAACATTGTAAATTTCGAATCTATTCAATACCATTATACAGATTTTCCACAGGGAAGTTTCTAAATGAAAAATTACTGCCTTTTGTTCAACGCACTTAAGTAGGTGGGGAAACAGAAACAAAAATATTGCATCAATCAACTTTAAGATTTTTTTTCAAATAAAACGAAATTGGATGACTTTATTCTGATATTGACAATTGTCCTACAATTTATTTTGGTAATTGTTTACAATAGGGCACGCGCGTTTTTCGTTTATAAATATTTGTAGTCGATAGAGAAACATTATAGATTCCTAAGTAATTAATAGGCGGAGACACTTAGATTTTGAGAAAAATAATAAAATTTCGCAATCAGTAGAGTTGCAGATACGTTGTTGCCACCTTATAATAAAGTAAAGTAAGACGTCCATACTGTGCGACGATTCAAAATTGTTCCGCATTACATTATTTTAGAACTAGCGACCCGCTCCGGTTTCGCACGGGTGCAAGTAGATATTGATTTTTTTTATTTCTCGGCTTTTTCTACTATAATATGCATGTATGCTACTTATAAACCTTTCGCTTGAATCACTCCATCTATTGATGAAAACCAAATTGATTAAAATCGCGTCGTTGCGTGGTTTAAAAGATCTAAGCTTACAACATAGGGCGTGACTTTATTTTATACTATGTAATAAAGATATGTACTTCTGACATGTATAGGATACAAATTGTCAGACGATAGGTTCTATACCTATGTTACATACGGCAAGAGATAGCAGTCTATACAGACTACAGTAGCCGTTGACGTACGCAAGCCATATATAGAATTGGACCGAACCGTAGACGGAGAAAACACATTGTTTTCTCAGTATTCGGACTGAACAGAAGAGAAATTACACCAATTGCCGTATAAATATTATTTTATACGTATCTATTTTGTATACGCGGGTTGTAAAGAAGGTTATTTAGGAGCAATTACAATTTAAATTTCTTTTTCTAAATAAAAAAAACCATTACCCTATATGTAGGATAAGTTCAAAGAAAAAGGAAAAGGGTAGAGAGCATACAAATTCCTATAATAAATCCCATGTGGGAACCAAACACACGACCGAAGTAGATCATTAACCATTCATTAACATAAATAGGTAGAAAAGGTCAACCCATCATCAAAAACATCAGAACAAATATGATTTCTTTTTTAATTCGGCGATGCAGACAGATTTACAGTAATTGGTAAGTGCTCAGTTATTTTGATTATCCTAAATTTCTATGTTATCGTTCTTCTTGCTATGCAGCATATATGAGTAAACCAGGTTTTTTTTTAATTTTGTTTGGTTGGTTCCAAAGGTTTGTTTTAAATTTGTTTAAATTTGTGTGTTCCATAGTGAAGTGTGTTGCATATGTCTCTAAATATCCATGACCAGAGTTAAATACAGGTTTCTAATAGTTAATTTGCTACGTTTTTCGCTAAAATCAAATGATGGTAGCATTCGATTTACATTCCTGATTATTTAATTCAGTACACGTCAGAAGTTAGGATTCTGTGTTAAAAATAAAAAATTATGGCTTTTTTTCTACCTACGTTACAAATATTTTAGAGAGCTTTTTTTATCTACGTATGTATTAGGACATAGATAAGACATATATACTGAAATTAATTAAAGTATTAGGAGTTCACAGTGCTTTGTAGTCTGGTGTAGTGTTGGTGTGGTAGGATTTAATCTTATGAATTGTTTTTATTGAAATTAGAATTTTTTTTTATTTCAATATTGTCGCGACTCGTCCTTAGTACAGAAGTTGCTTTGTGAAGATTTTGGTTTTTCACATCGTATGTTTGGAGAGGTCTTTGGTGTTGTCACAAACTGCAGGAGTTTTTTTTACCGTCGGTGCTTCACATCATATGTTCTTTAATGCGAGTATTTTTTTTTTCATAAATAGCTTTTATTTCCGAAAGGAGAGTGCTAACATATGTTTTTCATCATTTATAGTTTATTACAGTGGGCATATGATGTCAAAATTATAACTTATAACCGACCGATTTTGACGGGACTTTCACTGGCAGGTAGCTGATGTAATAAGGAGTAACTCAGTGTACTTTTATTTTAGAAATTGTATTTATTTTAAATCACGCGGACGAAGTCGCAAGCACAGCTTAATATAGATATAAATTGGCGGCAATGGAATGTATATAAAGTAGAATGTTGTTGAATTTCCAGCGTTTTCGTAGCCAGGCGTAAGACAATGATAGTGAAGTAAGTAATTTATATTCCTTATGCATGTTGTTCTCTAACTAACCATAGTTTTAATTTCATCGAGATGTGGATGTTTTATTGCAATGACGAGTATTAAATACTTAGACAAGCCGATTTTACTTTCATAGTGAAATAAATCATATATGAACTACAGAGCTTGAATAAAAAATAAGTAATAAATACTATGTAAGTACAGTCTCCTTTCGATTCTCTCTTTGTTAAAATAATTTACGGGAACATCTGCAAGATTAAGTATCTAAAATGAAATAAAATAAACGGCGTTGAACCAAAAGAAGTAAACCGTAGGAAACTCTAAAAAACCATAGCCGGTTATAACTCCGTTTAGGGCGCCAAATGAATAAACATGCCGACACCGACACTGTCGCATGCGCTGCATCTGTTCCAAGTTTGAATGGGCTTTCAATGGCGAGCGGGCAACCATTTTTTCTTCCGGCTCACCGCTCCAGCCGCGGTTTTGCCGCCGGCGCGGCGCGTTAGTTCAACTATGGCCGCGCTAAGCGATGTGTGTGCCGGTCTCGCACAGCACAAGGCCACGTTACTTCGGGAATTGTGCGATACGAACTTATTAGACGTGCTCGTGAAAAAAGGCCTGTTTAGCGTCAATGATCTCGAGTTGATAACCAGTGCGGTGGATGCGGATAAGTGTAATTATTTCATAGAAGTTGTTGCCAAACAAAGTGGTGGGAAGTTGCAAGAGTTGTGCGCTGTTTTGAATAAGGAATGCCCGAAATTATCTAAAGAGCTTATGAACGATAGGCAACGGTATATAATCAATGGTAAGTTACATTTAAGTTTAGTTTACACAAAACAATATACCTACTCCTCAAAAGTATGGGGTGTGCGCCTCTTTTTATTGTTTTTCACTAGAACTTTTAGTACAAATGTTATTTTATATTCAAGTAACCATATTACATTACTAAATTAAAGATATCATCTTAAATAGGCAAATAGTGTAATTTTAAAAATTTGGCCTGTATTGCAATATTTTTAATCTTTGGGGTTGTTTTGACCGCAACGAATTTCTGCGAGTTACTGTGCTCGTTTACTTTTGTCTAATTGCAACAAGACACGAAATTGAAACCATTACGTTACGAGTTTGATTGAAAAATTGCGTGTCGTTGGTCGAAAAGAAGGGGAGAACTGGACAGAACGTAAACATTCGGTTTCTTTATACTCGTTCTCGAACTTTATCGCTTACGAGTTTGAGCTTAAAGTGGAGTGCAGTACCAAGAGCCAAAAAGGAACCAAAACGGATGTAAAATCTATGCGGGTGCGTTCGGAAATTGACTCCGCTTTGGAGGACTTTGACACGGGAATCTATTACTTATTGCATGGTCAAAAATGTTATTGATGCCTGCTTCAGATATTGTTTGTGACTCAGCATTATGTCATCTTGTGCTCTCTATTATTGCGTAAATTAACCTTGATTTAATTTTATTTAATTTACATTGATACAAGTTTAAGACTATTACACTATACTGCGGCTGATAGCGATGTACAAGTTTAAGATTATTAAACTATACTGCGGCTGATAGCGATGTATATACATATATATACATAGTATTGTATAGTTATATTTGGAAAATTTCGGCATGTTATTATAATTTTTAATGTAATTTATAGGTAGTTGAGTAACGATTTTGTTAATAAATTGGTACATAAAAACGTCTGATCTCCCTATAATATTTCCGTTCATTACTTTAATCTGTCAGTTGCTTATGATTTAAATTGCCGTGTGGCGTGTATCGTGTAATTAAAGGTGTACAGAAGGTGTACAGAAATGATTGCCAAACCGATGATTTCCCCAAAACTTTCTATTATGGTTGTGTGTTAAAGAAAATTAAGATTTTATCTGACACTCTGCCAGTCATATGTTATATCGAAGTTAGGAAGTAAATGTGTGGATTTATTATTAAGTATGTAATTTAGTTATATAATTTGAATCCGGCGTCAATTTACAACTTCATATTTCCGTCATTACATGTTATATAACTTAAAACTGTCACAGTTGCATTGGGTTCAGCCTTTAGATTTTATTTTAGTCCTGTCGGAGTTACGGTGTCATTATATCTTGTTTAAGGTTTTAATTTAAAATATGATACATTTGCGAATTCATAAATAAAAAGTAGGTACCTAATTCGAAAGTTTAATACTGGCTGAGAGAAATATTAAAAATAAATCGATAACCATTATAATTTTATACCTTTAACATTTAGTGTACCTTTAATATATATATAATACTAGTAATTATCATCAATAGTATAATCTAATAAAATATAATAGAAATAATTATTTTTGTTAGTTTGGTGTTTTATCAAATAATAATAGTAGTAGTGACTTCTTAGTAGAAGTTAAAGAAAAGTTAGATAGTATATTTAATCTGTCGGCTACAGAGAGGGCGACGAGCGACAATTTCCACGCTTAGCAGTATCTTATTTTTCTAAGAAGCCTCATAAGGCACTTCGTGCAACTTCTGAGAACGTTACTGTATTTTGATATAGCACAAAGATCCGTGGTCTTATTGCTAATAACATGGAACATAGAAGTAATTCGATTTAGGACATTCAAAGAAAGAGAACAGGAGAGAAAAGAACAAGTCATAAGAATTACTTGGGAAATAATGTGCACGAATTGTCACAAATTGTGGAATTAAAATTGATACACCCACTAAAAACTAACCTGCCTGTCGTAAAAGGCGACTAGAAGGGGACGTTACGGTCATGGACTTTCAGTAGTGCGAAGTGTCCTCATGCTGTTGCAAACTTGTGAGGGGATCGGGAAATGTTCACCCTTCTCTGCGGCGTGCTCATGGGCAGTACCGTGGGACACCGGTGCGTTCCTTCGGAGATCCCGGAGTCCTTCAAAACAGGTACAAAACGTGGACACTGGAAGGGGGGCGGGGGTCACGTGAGAGGTGACATGGTATCTTTTGAAGATTTTCCCCCTTAAAACAAAAATTTTACGATAGGCTATCTTTAATTAAAATGTTATTTGGTTAAACATTACGATATCGTATATAGCTTACCTATTACTCCTACAATAAACATTTAAATAATGATAAGGAAGTTTCCCATTCTCATGACACGCAATATTTTTCAAGTCGAGCATTAAAAGTGAGATTTAATCTTTTAAGTTCGCAAAGTCTTAACTTCCTGTATTCAAAATTTCACGAGTTAAACTAAACCTATACTAACCCCGCGTTAAACGCCCGGTTTCTGAAACACTGATCATCGTAGGAGTAAATCAGCTGTAAAATGTCTGGTTAAACTCTTTGAATTGATAATTCTGATCAATAAGATCATTCTGATCAATTCGGAGAACTTAGCCATCATTTTAGCCACTTAAAAAACATTTGAAAGGCCATTTGGCAGCTGATTACTTAACATCTACGATGATCAGTGTTTCAGAACCCAGGCGTACGTATCATTTAATCATGAAAATTTTATCAAATTGCGTTGAGTAGTTTTGACGTGAAGAGGTAACAAAAGCGCACGCACGCTCACAATCTCTATAACATATAATGAGTACGCCCATTCAATAACAGCCGTGTCAGCAGTCGGAATAACAATAATTTTCAATATGAGTGTAAAGCTAACGTAGACACTGCGAATGTACAAACAAATACGCGTCAAGCGCTGTGTAATTAAATAAGTAGTGTCCACCAGTCCACCACTAACGACACTGCACTTAGTTATTTAACTTATAGCCATCGTTTCCTGTTATGTTTCTCTACAGGATTGTAGGCAGTGTGATAAAATATATTTTTAGTAGGCTTAATATTTTTTTAAGAAATCAAATTTAGCTGGGAATATTATAATTCTCGTTTTCTCAATATGTAAGGTTTACCTTTAACACTCGAAATGCCAGTGATGAACTGGTTTCCAAAAACAAAGTCATGGACACATCAAACTACTTTCATAAAGTTCTAGAACATTTCAGAATGGTCTGGATAGCACAACTTTTAGTCCCGTGTAGGAATCGAACCCTGAAGTAGTAAGCGAGGTGACAACACAACCATTGCCACATCTGTGTCGTCTCACCACGTTACTTATAATGTAAAGTAAAAAGGTAAAGTAACAGCCTATACATGTCCCACTGCTGGGCTAAGGCCTCCTCTATACAGAGAGTATCAGGGCATAGTCCACCACGCGGCCCCACTGCGGATTGGCGGGCTTCACATATCTTCGAATTTTTTTTTTGTTATTATTTCGAATAATGCAGGTTTCCTCAAGATGTTATCCTTCACCGCGGAGCACGTGATAAGTCAGCACTTAAAGTTAAAAACTTCATTGGTGCCGGCACCGGGGATCGAACTCAGGTTGATCGAGTATATTGAATTAAGGGCGAGCGCCCGGACACTGAGCTATCACGGCTGTTTAATTTAATGTACGATATTATAATATGATAAAGAAATTTTTCACAGATCGTCGACATTCCATACAAATTCGGCGACGTTAGAAGACAACATCACTCTCTACAGCATCACCGTCCGACATACTTTCGCGTTTTATCTGATTAGTGCGGTAACCCGGGCCCACTTTTTTAATTTTTGGAAACGCATATGATACCTGTCGGTTGTTCTCGGCATTCATTTCAGACCAGATAGATGAACCATCTGTTCCCTTGCGAACTTTTCTTAACAGTTAAAAACAGTTCATTGAACCAAGCCTCATTCCCCGAAAACCTTTGTTCCAGGCGATTTCTAGTAATAACGGGATTGTGATACTCCTTCGTGTTCTCATCATATAATGCAGCAAATAACAACTGCGAATCGAAGCGATCGGACATCTAGGTTAAGATAAGGTCGCGTAAAAGTGAATCGAGGTCGGTTTCTGCAGATTAATCGATTTTGCAAGTCATGAGTAAAGGTACATTCTGTCGTGTCACATTGAGCATATTGCAAAAGATTCGCGTGTTTTTATTACGTAATTATGAGACAAAGTTGGAGCACTTAGCATTTGCACTGTGAATTTTTTTCAAGTCTTTTAATTAGCTTCAGCCGTATGCATGATAAATGTATTACCAATGTAGTATATATATAAAATATTTAATTTCGAATTCAAAGGACATTGAAAGTTAAAAAAATTATTTAAAAATTAGAGTAGACCTAGTAAAGAGACGTTAACATAATTTACTATGCTTTAGAAATTTGTTGACCAGACGAGGGTAACTAGGTCAAGACATATTAAACGTCTAATAGTATAAATTATTATTTAATGTTGCCACATAAACCATCTTGACTCCTTTCATATTGTCAAAGGCGCAACGATGTCTAACTATGGGATATTTGTTATGTCTGGATATTTTATTCAAATGATGCTTATTTCAAACTAACGAACTCACGTTCAGACACGCGATGTCACGAAACCAATAAGGAGTTTTTATGGGTTTCGTGAGGAACTCGCTAAATAAGGAGACGTATTTCCTGACCTTCGGGCTGCCCGTCAAAAGTTACCGAAATATCGTCACTATCTTCAGTTCGTTGTATATTTCGCTGACAAGTATTATACTCTAAGTGGTCTTATACATATTTTTTAATCAATCAGATACAAGTTCGCCCCTAAATTAATTTAAAAACACTCAACACGACATAATCTTATGCTTGCTATGCTTTGTATAGACACCAAAATAAATAAAAAAAGTCGTAAATCAGTTCAAATACTGAAATAGGTGTTCGGAACGTTGAGATTTGGAAGAGAAACTTAAACGCAGGAATAAATTAGGCAGGCTGCTTTAAATTGTATTGCTACATTTAAAACGCTGCATTACTTACAAG